ATGGAACTTCATGAGTGTGAATAGGGCCTGGGAATGAGAAATTCTTTTTTTTTTTTTTTTTTTTTTTTTTTGTGGTCTGTCTCTATCACACCTCCTCAAATGGCTCTTTGTGATGCAATAGGGTGATTCCTTCTTCATTCTGAATCTGCTTTGGCCAGCTATAAAACGAGTAAATTAGAATAATTTGTAATGTGTTGAACAGCTTCCTAAGAATCAGTTGATGAGTGCTAAGTATTACTGWGAAGATGTGTTTTGGCACATGTATGCAAGCTCATGCAGTACTTGTACTGCGGATGCTTGGGGAAATAAACAAGAAAACCCCCTCAAACTCCTGCATTATCAAGGGCTCTTAAATCACAAATGCCCAGCTTCTAAGATGCAGAYGCACCTTAGGGGTGATCTAGAAGTAGCACAATACTACTGAACAATACAAGCTAAAATTTTAATTCTCTCCAATCTGATCCAAATAATTGGTTTTCAAGTAATAAATTGAAACCTGTTGTCTCAATTTCATGATGGGAAAGAGCTTTATGGATGGTATTTACGCTTGGTTCCTACCAAAATGGTGAAAAGCAAAAGATTGCCGTAAGATGCTACTGTGCTGCATGAATCAGGGTGACCTTCATAAAAAGGATTAGCTTGCAGTCTGCCTTTATCAACACCAGTTGTGTTCTTAGGATTCTGCTGGTTTTCCATATGGTACCGAGAAAGGTTGTGCCACCTTTTGAAGAAAAATGGACTTGATTTTTGTCTCAAATATGCTTCATTCTTAAGAATCTGTTTCTCTGCTTTAGTTCCTGCAATTAATCTCATCTCTTGGGAGTGAGGAGATGTATGTAGCTGTAGATGTGAGTAATTTCTTAATTTAATACTTAGCCTTTCTCTTGCAAGAGAGTTTGTAGCACGTGTAAGATCTTTTTAATAAGAAGTGGCATAATGTTCCCGGTCTGGTGTGAAGGATGGGATCAACAGGGAGCTGGTTCTAGGTGAAAGCCACTTGTTTGAAATTCAGTGAGAAGCCTTGCAGTCAGTGCCATGAGACTGGCTGGGGAAAAAAAGCATATGGCTTGGGAAATGGAGGAAGAATCCAGTACATTTTCTATGAAAACACCTAGATAAGGGAACCTTTACAGAAGGAGTTGGTGGTTTTAGTTGCTTTTCTAACATTTATATCATGAGGAATGGTTGATGAGAACATGGACTCGTGTACCCGTCCTGGTGGTTGAAGAAACAAAGGACTGGATTGGCATAAAATCAAACTAAAAATAAATGAAGTATTATGAGGGCAATATCTGCTAAGGAAATACTACTGTTTCAATATAGCATCATCTTGCATGGAAACTATTGACTGATGTTTGTCCAGCTGGACTGTCTCTGAGCAGAACTGAGAACTGGCTGTGGTCACATTTTGTGTTTCTCCTGTATAGATAATTTTAATTTTTAGCTACAGCTGAACTAACCATTCTGCTCTCACTGAAGACATTGCTTTTTGCAGCAAGAACTATGCTATGTTAAGCAAAACCTTTGCTGAACAATGGAAAAGAGATCTAAGCGTTGCATTTGGAACTAAGATTCAGGCAAAAAGAGAGGGGAAAAAATTGAAGGTACGTGCTATACATCTGTAACTGGATGCCAGCCATAAATAACCTTACTAAAGCAGCAGTGCCGGGCAGAATGACTCGGGGTTTGGGGAAGAAGGGCAGTAGAAGGGTAGCTATGACCTGATTCAGGGAAAAAGCTGGCCAAGACTGGGCAGGCTACAAAGTTGGGTCTTGTAGACRATATCTAGGAATTTAGCTTTGAGAAGCAGAGTAGTAATTAGCAGTTGAACAAGTGGGCTTGGATCTTTGCATCTAGTAATAGGGATCAGAGAGAAGTCTATGGCTGAGCGAGGCTCTTAATGGAATCTCTTGTCTGGGGATGGAAGCAGGAGCTGGGCCCAGGCTGTGCCGTGCAGACCCTCACCGCCCCTCGTGTCTCTGCTTGGCGCTTGCTGCCTGGGCTGCAGTCTGGGAGTGACCCGTAGTGCCGCCGGGTGAAGCACGAGGAGCACTCGCCCGCTGTGCAGGAGCACACGTGGGAATGCAACTGTGCTTRAAGTGCAGGACAGCACTGAAAAAATTGCGTCTTGTGATGAATTGCCTAATTACCCTCGACGTCTTTTTGGTTGCTCAGTTGCCCTTTCATTTCTGCGTTTGTGAGGAAGGCTGGGGCTCCAGAGAAATCTCATCCGTCCTGACAAAGCTTCCTTCTACTCTGGTTTGTGAATATATCTACCTGGGTTCTTAATATTCATAGTCATACAAAACTGCTTAAAAAAATGCTGTCAAAGGTTCTGGGGATAAATCTGATCTATTTGTCCTCTTTRTCACTTTTTGAAAGTATTTAAACTTATGTCTTCTCTTCCCTGGCTTGAACAGGTGATTCAGCCTCCTTGTAGGAGCCTAGCACTGAGGAGCACCCTGACAGTGACACTCAAACTTAATGGAGAAGAAAATCTGTCAGTAAGTCAAAAGGTCTCTGTTTATTGTTTTCTGCAAGGACATGAGCCTGTTCAGCAAGGTCCCTGGCCAGCAAGTGTGCCATTTCTCTTCTTGCTTGTCAAAGCGTGTTAAAACTTTTCCAGCRCTGGAGCTGGGCAGTGAATTAACTTTTTTTTTTTTTTTTTTCCCAGAGCAACGTTCTGGGAGTTCTCCCTCCAGAACTTATGAGGAAACAGCCTTGCCTTCATACAGCAACTTTGGGATTGTGGACTTGGAGAAATTTCTGCTTTTTTCTTTTAATCAAAACTAGAAGATCTGGGTGAGCTGTTCTCTGTTATTTATGTGGGCCATTTTCTGTGGGTGTTCGCTGTAGGAAGAGCCATTTGGCCCACAGCTTTGGTAAACTGTACTAAATGAAGGGTTATTTCTTGATGATGGAAATTTCGTTAGTGTCCTGTGCTGTGTAGGCTTCCCTCTAAAAAAGGCCAGTGAAATGCACTGTGATTAAGGCTTTCAATGAATAGAAATGCTGCTATGAGCTATTCAATGTGAGCTTGATTTCCCGTTGTTGCCTTGGCACTGATATAGTTAGGATGTCTTACAGACACCCTAGGTGTCTTACAGACCTTCCTTGTAACTGCATGGTATAATTGTATGGAAAGTAGACTGAAAGAACACTCCTGCATATGGTAAAATGGCTGCTGAGKTATTTCAGGTTTGTATATGATTGCCAGTTATCAAACAGGTAACAGCTGTCCTTATCTCAATTTAAAAAGAAAAACTTATCTATACATAACAGCATTTGGGATATTGGCCTCCACATCCTCTTTGGTACAATTCCAAACTCTTTGCTAGGGAAAAGCAAATTCTGTAAATGCAAATAATCATAAGAAAATATATTAAATTATAATTTATAGCAATGAGGATTTAAAGTATTTGTCCTTATATAATATGGACATATACTATGTATCCTAGCATAGGATACATAACTACAGAATTATTTCATATTAAGATGGCATACAAAATAAAACATGATAGGATGGATATAGTAAATAATGGTTGTAAAAAGCCCGTTCTACTTATTTTTAAGTTGCTAATCTTGATTTATATGACCTTTTATAACACTTGATTTATCCATCTTCCTCAGATATACAGAGAGGGCAGTGACTGTCTTCCTGTGGGGCAGCACCAACATTTGGTATACARAACACATCAGGGTCTACTGTAGACGTTATTAGTGCCAGTTTTGTTCCAGAGGAGAGCAACACAAAGCAGATAATTCAGGTTCTTTATACCGTATAAATCCTGTGCTGTACCAGTCAGCAGCAGCTCACAATATCTGATAATACAGGACCTTTTTTGTATGTCCTGATGGTATTTCATGCAGAAATGTGAGTTGAACAAGAATGAAATTAATAAGTGTTTTAGTCCTCAGTCAACCAATGCTACCTGGAAGYGAGCTTTGTGTATCATATATGACCCTGAAATAAAACTTAGTAAATAGAGCATGTTATTGAAAACTCAACAGCTTCTTCTTGAAGTTTCCATGATGCGGCAGGCGTTCTGTTCATTGGCCACCTTAAAGAAAATCCTAAACAAAAGAATTAAATATTATCATCCTCAAGCAGTAGTTGTCTGTGAATGCAAATACCAGCATGAAAATTTGCTTAGCTTCCCTGAGGACAAAGTAATTTTATAACAACATAAAATGTAAATTTCCAGGCTAGCATGAGAAAAATAGTAAGGAAGAAATCTACTAATAATTCAGTCTCTTGCACAAACAGGATTCAGAACAGCAGAACTTGTAGTAAATGTGACACATACCACAAAGAAAAGTTCTTGCCRTGTAAAATAAGGCACAAGGTCTCAAGATGATAAAATACTTCTACAAATTCACCTCGCTTCTCATCTGCAGGCAACCATGACCACCTCATCACTTCATGGGAACGCAGACGTTCCTGCTGCCTCTGCTCCAGTATGTATTTATCACCCATCAAGTTTTATCAGAACATTTAAAATAAGGAATAACGAGGCTGTATTTTTAAAGCACTGTAAGGATTGGTTTAATTTTGCAGGTCGTGCATRTATCTGTGTATGGAATCTGCACAGAAAGTCATGATTGCATTTCAGTTCACTAATGCTTGGCAGAACAAATTTATTGTAAAAAGAAAAACTCCCCCAGCTCCCCAAAATAACCCCTGGCCCCCAAACATACCCATGTATAATCTTGGTGCAACTGATGAGCTACTGAAAACTGCTAAGAATCAGCATCCCATCTTGGGCATCCCTTCCTGCCACGTCTGTGGCATCCCTTCCTGCACAGCCTGGAGTCTGCTAAGATGTGGCTGGCCCCTCCTGGCTCCCCTCATGCTACTGTCAATTCAGAATAATTGTCCATTTAGACCTTTAATTATTCTGAAAGGGGAAAATGACGCTCAGTGCAACATGTGGATGGCTGCAACGTTCCCCTCCCTCCCTCGAGCCCCTCTAGGAAATAYGGTTCAGCTCAACACTTACGGCTGTCATAGCATATGTTGCCCAGGGCACGTCCCGTCTGCAGCAAAACTTCCTGGTCTTTGCAGTTKAGGAGCTGCACCAGAGGAGGGATGAGCCCGGCGTCCACGCATGGGGTCCGCATGAATTCTGCAAGGAAGCAGTGAAATCCCTGTCACGCCGGCACGGCCACCGGGCCCTGTGCAGCTCGGCAGGAAACTGAACGTGTGCACGGACAGGCCAGGGGAATTCTCACGCGAGTTCCTAGCCTAAGTTAAGGGTTCTGGCTCAAATTGTTTCCAGCAGTCATCAATTTGGAAGGAATTATGAGTATTTAACAGACTTCCATGGAAACKAATTGAACGTGGCTCAGAATTAAGCATGTTTTGAAAATCATAAGGCAGTGTTGAGAAGAACAGTGCACTTGTGCCATTTTTCTCCAGACTTACAAATTAAACATAAATTAAAATACTGAATTAGACAAGAGCTGATTTAAAACTATAAACGTGCAGCATTTTTTGCACCTCTTCACCTAATTTAATAGAAATGTAAGCCRGCATTCAAATCTCCCGAAGAGCTTTTGCTTTATTAAAAAAGAATTAAAGTTGAGTAACAGTCGCTATAAAAAGAGGAGAAGAGAAAGTGCAAATGCAAGAACTTCTTAATACTCTCTCTTCTGCATCTGTTAAAATAATCTCTGAAGTTTCTGTATTTCCAAAAATTCGTACCTGTTGGAACTAACCTTGCAATGTTGCTTTAGCTATAAAAATCGTATCTTCATGGAGATAATCAAACCTTGCATGCAAAAGGTAGATAAAGTAGAATCAACAATATTACACACTAGTGTGGGGCTAAAGGCAGACTGGTCAGCACAGTAGACACTGTCCTAAAATACTACAATATTTTAAAACTGTAGATCCATGCTCTGCCAGGGTAAAAATGATGAGCTAAGTAAAAGTATCACTTCTGTCATGAACAGATCAAGTATCACATGCATCTCTTGAAAAATTATTTGGATGTGCTCTTATTTTTATCTCTTTCTTTCTTATCATCCATGTTCATATTCATCCCAGTAGTTCTTTAATGTATTACTTGTTTTTTCCCTTAGACAGTCTGCTCTGTYCCCTCAGCCTCTTCCTTTCTTTATTGTTTATAGGAACTCTAATTCTTCCAACTATAGCTTCTAACTCTTCTARAAAAGGGAAAAGGGAAAAGAAATTCTTGCTCTACCAGCCTCTGTTTGGAGTGAACACAAGTTTTCAGCCTCCCATTCAAGCACACACAGGAAAAGGCAATTTGCTTGTAATGAGCAAGGCCATGTGTAAGGCAAGAAGTAGAAGAGATGGTGCCACCCACAGCTAAACGGCTCCTTTGAGACAGCAACCAGTGTCARCCGCTGCAATTGCATTTGCAGGTGCCCCGGTGTAGAAGTAAGGAGGAAAGAGAAGGTGATGGAAATCAGCCGTTTAACCTGGCAGGGAAATGAAGCTGAAGGGCCTGGTGAAGAACTATTTAAGAAGGCAGGAGGAGAAGCACAGAAGGACSAGGTTCTGCAGGCCAAAGGAGGACAGGAGTTCAAGGGAGAACTTTAAATGTGTGAAAACGTGACAGATGATGAAGCTGGTGCTCCCGCTCCCAGAACAGGCAAGGGAGAGGAGTCAAGAGAGTCCACGAGGTCTCCAGGGGGAAAGACGATCCACTTTGCCAGGGCACCTGAGCACTCAGTATGCTCTGAGCTCACAGGTAAGTGGCAGCAGTGGAGAAACTAGACAGGCTAAAGCATTTTTGTGGGGGATTTGTCTTTTTAAGATGGGAGAYACAAATGCACTGGGAGGAGAAAAAGTCATGCCAGCTGGAGAGGTGAAAGAGAAGAGCGAGGGCAGGAAGAAGTGGAGGGAAGGAGATGAAACAAGACCACCACTGAGGCAAGTAGACGGGTTTCATGTGACCAAAAGTGATATGGGTGGGGAGAGAACTAGAGGAGAAGAATGGGAAAGAAAGAGATGCTATTTTATTTTATCACTAAAGTGCAGACTAGGATTCCAAGGCACTACTGCCAGCTCTGCCAGTGCTACGTGGCATGACCATGGGGAAATCATTTCAGTTTGGGGGTTTAATGCCTATCTGTAGGATGCTGATAACACAAATTTCTCAGTGCCCTGAAGCTCCTTAAAGAAAAGGTGCTGTGTAAGCATGGAGCATTCTTATTGCTATGTAAGAGGAGGACAAAGCATTCAAGTGTGGTTCTCCCTGCTATCCTGCTCGAGGAACTGTTTCAGCAGAAGTAGAATCCAGAGAGAAACACCCAGCTCCATGTCCTCACTGTAACCTTAGCTGCCAGCAGTCCCGCTTACACCTGGCAAGAACTCTAAGACAGAAGCTATTTTGTATGATGAACCAGATAAAAAGCCAGCTCTTCTGAAGAATGTACTTCTAGCAGCAATTTAAAAACCTGGCAGGAAAGAGGACAAATTAGGAACTATTTAGAGGTTTCATTTATTAAGTCTGATGGAAAGGAACTGGCTGAAATGCTCTGTGAGAGAATGGTGCAGGAAGCCATGCACAGTGATGAATTAAGCTATCGCGAGTGTTGTTGTTRCTCTTAACCTCACTTTTGAGGAAGGAGCTAACAGGACTTCACAGTTGATTACAACAATCTAAATACTTACATTAAGAATTCATTAAGTACAGGGAAGGCATGTGATAGGGTTTGGTGAATCTCTGTGATTCTAAAACAATTTTAAGTTTAAATATTAGATACTTATCTACAAGTAGAATCTTAAAAATACAGAGGAAATGTCTTCTCTTCCTGTGTTTCCTAAGGTTTATGGGAGGTGCTTGTCCCTAGTTCCTATCTTGATAATTCTTTATCATAAAAAGGAAATATATTTGAATTGTTTTATAGTATCTTCTWTGTTATATACATATATATATATGTATATATAATACATACCAAARTGGCCACATGATTGTCATTCAGGATCTTGAGCTGTATCGCTAAGAAATTAATGCTCTTAACTAGGAGTTAGGAAGAACTATTCTTAGTATGGTATAGCAGCCTCATAACGGTAATAATGTGCTTACTTAACTGCAACTGTAGCAATATGCATTTTACATAATTGTGCACAAATAATGCACATCACATTTCTACATTTCATAAAACTTGATAGGACTTGGTATTTTTTTCCAATAAACTATATTATAGATTATCTAAAACCTCAATAATATAAAAGTAAAAACGTATAAAAAAAACCTTCCAGCAGCTAAATACTGCTTTGATCACGTTAAGAAGTTGAGAAACAAAATTGACRAGACAAAACTAAAAGAGTGAAAAAGAGGATATGAAAGACGTCTAATCTACAAAATGAAAACATAAATGAAGTAAAACATACTGACAAGTGAGGTGAAAAACTGAAGATGTTCCAGCAGAAAAGTTCTTGTAGAAAACCTCACCATTTCTGGCTACTTCTGCTATGATGTTAGCTACTTTTGCAGTGCAGGATGACTGTGGCGTCAACAGACTCGCGAACACCTGAAGAACTCCACTTTTCTGGATTTTTTCACTTGTCTCCGTATCTGAAAAACACATGACAAAAAAACAACTTGAGTATTAGCCTGASTCAAGGGGGAGAAAAAAGAAAGAAAAGCCGGCGAAAGGAAAATCTCCTTAAAGGTAATTCTCAAAACTATTTTTGTATTTAAGAAGCAGGGGCTGACGTGTCTGTGGTGGTGTTTATTTGACATGAGTTGCTCATAGAACTTAACACTTTATGTTTCTAAGTTGGTTAAGTCGGGTCAGAAGTGACTGTGATGCCAATAAATGCACCCGCATCCTCATGTGTACTCTGGCTGCAGAGACTGGTAGGATGAAGCGAGTTTGTGGCGTCCCCCCGCTTAGGTGCAGCCTAAGGTATTAGGTGGAAATTGGCTGAGGGCGGTGAAATGCAGCACACCAGTGTGAAACTGTAGGAGATGGGAAGTTAAGCAGATCCTGATCTCCTCCGGAGTAACCTCAAGGTTACTTGGCTAAGCTACAGTAGCCCCAGGACAACCTTAGTCACAGGGAAAGGAAAAGGCATCACTGAGGTCCTTACAGTAGCAACCAAGGATTTGGGCATGCAATTTTCCCCATTTCTTCAATTTCCTCGATAGAGGAATTGCATCTATAGTCGTGGTGATACCTGATTACAAGCAGGCTAGGTGCAAAATGAAAATTCATTTAGTGAAGGCTGCCATGGAGCTTCAGCCTATACACCATGTGCTAATTGTTATTAATCTGTTTGCAATCTAGTTAACTGCATTGTTTCAAATGCTCTCAAAAGCCCTCTTAGTAAATACAATGTAAATGAATTATGTCTGACTTGGAAGCGTTTATAAGTTCTGTTATATAGCCTGTAATTTCAATATATATTCTCCCATGGATATTTATAGATGAAAGAAGTTTGAATGCAGAGAAAATCCTACTAGAACTAAAGATTGCTACAGAAATTCCTTATGTATTTATTAAAGAACAGATCCCTCCTTCCCCCTCAGTTAAAAACCTGGAGTGCAGGATTCAAAACTGAAAATGCTAACTTGCATAATGTTAATCAGAATGAGCAGRCAGGAGATGTTAATGTATTTTCCTCTGCCAAACTGCTGAGATGTACAGCATTCAGTCTTGTTTTTATGGCCTGCACTTTGATGGGCTCATTATTGTGCAATGCATAAATTGCATGAATAGAGCAAAATATATCCTGCAAGAGGTGGGGAAAATAAAATTAAATRCTTCTTCAGGCCAGTTGCATATAGCAGACTTGCTCTGATTTATTTTATTTAGCTAGGCAAGTGAGCGCCAATAAAAATCCAGCACTTAGCAGACCTGTGGGAAGCTGCCGTATCAGCTGGCTGATATCACCGAGCCAAAACGAGGAACACCACTGACTTTTCTCAAGCACTACCAGGAGCCACAAGTGCGTGTGCCCTCCCCTTGGAGAAGCCAAGGTGCCCCCGGCTCCYGCAATCCCGGCGGAGCATCCGTGGCCGTGGGCTCCTGCCGGGCCCGGCGGCGGGCAGGGCTCCCTGCGGGGGCACCGGCCRGGGCCTCGCTGGGCGCTGTTTCGTGCGGCTCTGCGTCACAGGGCTGGTGCTTCTTGCTCAGGGGGGCTGCCTCTTGCGTGCTAGTCGCCTCCCCCTAAGTCATTGGAAAGATGAAACGCTACTGAAATGCTGTTTTACTGCAATACATCAATTGTAGTTGGATCAAGCAAAACCAAAGGGCTTGCATAGGTGCAAGACAGATTGAAGTAAAGTCATCTTTCTATAGTGGAGAAGGAAGGGAATTAAGTGTTTGTTAACCATGTGCTAGCAAGGAGTTTTCATCAATTATTTAAACTTCTTTAGCAGAACTGCATGGACCCTTTTCAAATCTGTTACCTGTGTGGCTTAAGGAAACCTGATAATCTAGGCAGTCTGATAGAGAGCCAACTTGTCAACCGTTTTGCTATATGTGCATGTCCAAACTCAAAAAACTTTCTTCTAAAGCCTGATTTTTCAGTCTGCATCCTCCCACCCACCTGCAGAGCACCCACTGCTCCCTGTCTCAGAGCAAAGAAGCTGCAGGGCTGCAGTACTGCTGCTTAGGAACAGTAATGAGCACAGTACAGTAAGGCGCCAAGGCAGAGTAGTTGGGGGGRAAAAAACGGTTTAAAAGAAAAAGCAAAAAAACCACACCCAACTATGGTTAAATCTGAAGCTTTATAAGTCTCCTTATATTGCTAGCTATCAAGACAAAGAGTGTGCTAGATCACACAGTGCCAAAATCTTATTAATGTCGTAGCCTGGTGATTCAAGTGTCAATATCCTGGCTTTTCCTGGGTCTTGTAGTGCCTCAAGTCAAAATAATATAGAGTGTGGGCAGGAAATTCTTTAATGCCACAGATCAGAGTTGAGCACCGGGGCTATGAGGCTGCTTAATTAAGTAGCAGAAATCACTATAGGAGAAAAAATCCAATGACTGCTTCAAATTAAGTTGTACAGTGTTTCCTTTCCAGCTCTATGCCATTTTAAATTTCACAGTTCTCTGTTTTGCTCATTCTTCATCTCTGCATCGKTTCTTCCACCTCCACAGGGGAAAACAACGGCACGGAGCGGGAAGGCCAAGGCACCTCGGTCAGCCGTGCTCCTACTTGGTGCTTGCTCGTGAGAGGAGCCTCTTGGTGCATCATCGTTCCTGCCCTTTGACCAAGGGGTTGAAGTGGTGCCGTTAGACGGTTCTGTGGCACRAGCAGCTTTGCATCCTAGAGAGGGGAGAGCCAGCCGCCACGGGTGAGAGCGCCGCGCTGCCCCAGTTCCCCCAGCAGAAAGGCGGGCGAGCACCTGCCCGAGCGCCGCCTCGCCACCCGGCTGCGTGGCCAACGGGCTCTCTGCCGACAGGTACGTAGTGGAGCTGCACGTTAGCTTTGGGAGCCCCCTGAAATCACTGCCCCCTGAGTGATCCTGGCTTTCTGGTGTCCCTCCCACATGTACCYTCCTCAGAAAGAGGAGGATGAGCGTGTGAATAACTAACACTGAGCCACGTATGTCACGCGAGGAGCCCGTATTTGCTGTCTCCGATGGCAGCAGGGAGGGCAAGGAAGGGGGCATGGGATATCTCTAATCATCACAGCCCKGTGCTGCAGAAGAGGTTCCTCTAAYGCAGGGGACGTATTTGTGCRCTCTCAGTTTATCGCCTCCCTCAAGAAGCTCTCTCTGTCTCTCCGTAGTCTCCTCTTGTATTTTGCAAACCACAAAATGGAGATTTTTAACCTGACTGCAGGGATACACAAAAGTGGGTTGTAAAGAGCCTCGGTAAAAAACAGATGATCTCATGCAACAGAGCACACTGCTAATACAGGAGGATTTTGCCTAACACTTCTTAGCCAAAAAGCCTGTCCCAATAATCTAGATTTATTTTACAGAACCAAGTCTGCTATTAATAATTTATATAGAGAAACAGTTTATGTGAGGATACAAATACACACAAATGACTTCCTGTTGGCATGTTCCTCCCCACGTGGGGAAATGCCCATGGGCAGAAGCTGATCCTCACCTCCCCTTCTTGCCAGACCCCAGAGGTGGGGCGAGGAGCTTCTCGGTAGCTGTGCGAAGGCTCCTGTCCTGGTGTTTGCTCTTTGCTCTGCCCCTGCCAGCAGCAACACGGCAACTTAAGCTCCTATTTTTAATCAAGAAGCAGAGGTAGGGCACAGATGTTTGTAATTAAAATCTCAGCCCTAACAAGGAAGGAAGGGCAGATGGAGAGGGACAGATTGGCCAACCAACTAGCTGCCTGATCCCTGCTGATTAAATATTCCTGAAGCTCTAGTCAAAGAACAGAAGTGAATTTCAGGATGAGACTTAGCCCTTAGGGAGCCTGTTGCAAGTTCCAATGCAATAATTTAACGAATATTTGTACTGACTTTGGCGTTGAGGAAATGTGCACATTAATAGGTAGATGGAGGTGATGCAGCACGAAGCAGCAAATGGAAGTGAGGCAGCTGTGTGATTCTGAGCTTTCCTGAAGTGCATCTGGYGTAGAGCCCTGAGGGATGAACTTGGGTGGATTTAATAGAAGTGCTGATTCTCCCTGCACCTTTCCACTCAACCCTATGAAGGTTTGGAAGCCACTTTGGTAGCTAAAAGAGTCAGAAAACCAGTACTTGGCTGCCCTATTTAGTAGTCTGGCTCCATAGTGCAAATGCAGCTCTGCAATCCGTTAGCAGCTTTGCTTTTTATGATCAGCTTGTGTGGACATTTTAATCTGCCTCCTCCATTGTTTGTGCTAACGGGATTTATTATAGGACTTGCTAAAGCCTTAAGTATCCTTGTGCTTTAGTTTTTCAATCTACGTGACGGAAACACAAGACCTGTGGTGTAAAATTCTTGTTCTGTGTTGGTGAGTTTAAAAATCTAATCAAATTGGAAGGCTGTGCACAATATATASAGGAAATGTTTCATATTCCTTTTAAGAAATTTCTTGAGAGCTCTCGAGCAAGCCCAAATGCACACTGAGAAATTTGGCCCAATGTTCATGGGGAGATTATGACTACAGATAAAGATTTTTTTTGTTGTTTTTTCAATTCAAGTTCCTTGAAGAATGGTTTAAAAAAGTTATGCTGGTCAAGCAGGTTAAAGAAAAAGCTTAACTTAGAAATGATCACGTATGTTAGTCACAAGGGACAGGGTCAAAGCTAGGAATGTAATTTCAAACCCAAAATTGTGAATTACATGATCATGTGATAAAAATTTTTCATAAAGAATGGATCTTTTCCTTTGCTTTTATATTGCATTTCAAAGACGCTGCCTAGAAAGAAATTTCTGTTATCTGCTGTTGGTATTCACTAAGGTGTTTTGAGAAGAAAAAATATATAATAGTTCATCTTATTTGGCACATTGTGTATTGAAAGAATAGCATTTGGAATTTAACATTTAGATAAACATCTTTTAACTATTTGGCACTAACCAAATACATCACTATTATGAGGAATTTATATAAAATATAAGCCCACTACGCAGCAGTGATTACCATTTAGTATCATTAAGCTAAGGCAGTTTACTGG